CGAAGTAGCTGTTACACAGTTTTTTTGATCACCCCTTTGACTTGGGAACTTACTTGCTCTTCAAATCACCCAATCCCCGTAGTAAAGAAACAAAGACACAAGTGTTATGACCTCTAACTTCTTCCAGAGAAGATGACAGCTCAGAAAGTAGAATTAGAAGAAAAATTTAGGAAACAAATTACTACTTTTTTATGCATTCACTTCATTATTAAAAAAAAAAAAAAATTGTTAGCTTCTTAGTTATACCCTGAAAAACATCAACCACTGGCTTTGGCATTTTTAACGAAAGCAAAGCGCACGACATCGCTACCAGTCTCAAAACCAAAGGGAGTCAGCAGACGTGACTAGGGGACATGCTGAGTAAATTTCTCCCTCTACTTGAACTGTAGTGTCTCAGCTCCCTGCTCATCAGGCTAACAAGTCTTCTGGTCTCAATCTCTCCCTTTAAAGTTTTCCGTTTTGCACAGAACAATTTACTAAAACAAAAGGCTAGTAAGGGAGTAAGCAGGATAGCCAACCAGGCAGTAACCCGTACAGTTGTCCTCTAGTCCTCAGCAAAATATAGGTGGACCAGCAGCATCAGAAAATACCAAAAGAACCCCCAGTGGAAAATGCAAATTTTAAGCCCTACTGAGAAGGAATTTGAATTTGGGAACCTCATACTCTGTGCATTATCCACCAAACAGCCACAAGAACAGTTATGAAAACCTCCCAGAACACACTGTTGGGAACGTAGCTTCTCCACCAAGTTTTTTTCCCACCTGAAATTCTTCCAGAATTTTAACATGACCAAGACTACAATTCCAGCAAATAAACTATTCACATGAAAATCCCTACCTAGCTTTTGATGCAAGTAAAAGCACTTAGCCCTTAACGGCAAACCTAACGTAACCCACTTTCTGTCACTGCTCCCAGACCATTATTTGTTGTCTCAGTTGGGTAAAAATAATTCTGTAACTAAAAATCCCAAAAGCAATTTAAAGATTATTAATGGGCAATGCAATTCCTTCAAATTCACCTGCATCTTCACATAGAAAATAATTATTTTTTTTTTAAAGTCAAGAAATGTTGTAGCACTGATGGGTGCTTTTAAGTAGCTGCCAGCATATTTCTTCCATATTGATTCCAAAATAAAAAAAGCCCATCAAGGTATAAGGTATTTTATTCAACAGCAGATCCCATTCATACCATTTAAAAAAAAAAATCACTTCTCTTGAAGATTATGAATGCTTTGTTGTATACTTTTCACAGAAAAAACAGACTTATCCCAAGAGGGACAGGACACTGAACGGCTTCCAGTACTTTTTACCTTCTAACTTACTCACTGCAACTCTCCTTTTAACAAAGCAACCAGGTATCTTGGGATATCCTAAAATATCTATGCTGGCAAGTATGATAATTTAAACATCAAACTATATGCCCCATGTTATGACTAATCAGTTTCTCTGGAGGGTTACTCAAGGTGGTTTTCACCAGTCCATGACTGTAAACTATCCTAGGCCCTTCAGTAAACCTGGGCTGCAAGAAAGGGAAAAGGGTGGCGGGGGAGGAAACCATAGAAGAAAAAACATTAATAATAAAAAACCTCATAGATCTTAATAAGACACCATCAGAAGGGTAACTTTAAATTTAAATATTAATCAGCACAATATCCAGCATACAAAGGAATAGAAAAAGTAAAGTTAAAATTTATAACGTTTGAAAGGTGATTTATGATTCCTGAAGAATTCAGCTATACCCATTTAAAGCTGTCCCCTCTTTTCAAGTTTATAAAGATTTTTCTTTTTTTCTCCTTCACACTTTCAAAGTGTAAATCAAATACAACTTTTAGCTCTCTGCAAGATAAGACAAGCAGGTCTGATGCTTCACCCGCTCCATAGATGATTTTGCAGATGTGAGCACATTATGTTGGGTGATCCTAGTTCCAATCCCACAGCGCAAGTGCAACACAGTGCAACACACAATTATTACTATGAACATGTTAGAGAGCTTCCACAATATCGCGTTTAGAAATTCCTTGCATTTGACCACCAGTATTGCTGGATTATTATTATTGGGTTATTATGTATTATTGCCTTTTGGAAGAATAAAAAACCTTCTTCTTTCAGTGTGGTTTTTTTTCAGATCTCATAAACAATCTAATTTAAGGTTATACAGTCATTCAGAAGTGATAGCTAATTAAAAAAAACATGCGTAACTTTACCTTTTCACTATTCTTGTATTTTTCCCAGCTTTTCAGCATCTTAAGCCATTTTGTAGTTCTTTCAATTTCAAGGTGCTTTTGCTGAAAAAAAAAATTTTTTTTGATGTTTTCAAAATAAATATATAGAAAATTTTGTATTTCTAAAAATATTGAGAAAGAGTTTAACACAGCATGAACTTTTTATCCAGTCATCTAAAAATAACAACAAAGAGTAACATCAGTTCACTTAAAACACCCAAAAAAGTATCCAACCTAAAAACGAGAAGAAACCCTTATTTTCAGCACTATGTAAAGAACTGTATGTTGTAAGAGAAGTTTAAGCACAAGACTTATAAAAGTTTATTCTTTACACATTTTTGGCAAGTGCCAAAAACTTCAATTTGTTTTTCTCCTCCATAAGTTTTCAGGCAAATAATTACTGCTGCAAGCTTTTTAAAAGTTAGCTGACTGTGAAAAGGTGACCTTCTTTACCCAGGCTTGCCCTAAGCACAATTAGCTATTGTTTTCCAGTGACCACACAAACCATCCCTTCTCAAAAGGCACAAAGTACACGAACAAAAATAAGTGCATGCAAGGGCAACAGTGCAGTAGCAGAAGTGGAAACATTCTGGACATTAAAAGCTAGAAATCCTTGCTGTAATGCTCATCCTTGGCTTGGTACGCTTTTAGCTAAATGGTTCTATATTTTACCATCAAGGATTTCTTCTGAAGGTAAGATCGACTTGCTTTAATTATATTACTAAAAAGAATATTTCAGTAAGGAGGTGAAAATGTCAATTCAAAGCAAAACAAACCTCATCTTCTCAAAATAAATAGTTAAATTAAATAGTAAAACATGTAACAATAAATATGTGAATTCCACACATTATTTGTATTCTATGCCGCTGAACAAGCATGAGACAATCCTACCACCTTAAAGATTGCCATCCTGCCTATGAAAACCTTGCTACAGTTGCCATCAACCTCTCAAAGTGGGGAACAAAACAAGCACTTGGAATTAGCTATTTGTAGACCTTGGAATTTCAAGGCACTTTGGCTCTTCGCAGCCAAAAATCTGTATTTTGTTTGGTAAGAAGATTTTTAGTTCATATTTTTACAGTCTAGTTTTACATGATGTAAAGTAGGCAAAGTATCTCCGATTATACTACAAAGTTAACTAATAACTGTGGGGAGATTTCTTTATTTTTTTAATGACACTATTTCAACTCTTTCATAATGCTTTGGGAATGAGGGTCAACACTGGAAAAGCTAAAGCAGCAAAACGTATATGCGTGGCTATTGCTTTCCCTTCAAAGAGGAAGATAAATAAATATTTAGTTTTTTTGAAAAGGACAGCCCATCTACCTCCAACTTCAAATCCAAGGCTTAATAAAGACAGGAAGGATATTCTGTTTCATACAGCTAGTGACGCAAACCACTAACAATGTAAGAGTTTCATTTTAAAGCTCTGCAGGATACTGAAAACTTATTAATACTTTCATTAACTGCATCTGAAATGTTGGGGGAAAACAGAAAATAAAATTATTACTTATTGTCTCAATAGAAATCTAATTTTACCCCTAGCTTTTGCTCATGAGAATTTGTGCACTCTTTCTTGGCTATCAATGCAACGAAACGGGCAAAAGACTTCTGTAATCCAGAAGCCCAAAGCCTTGCACTTGCAGAATCACAACCTGATGACTGTTTAGCTCCACCCGAACCATGATTCAGTCCATTAATTGTCCTGGAAATAAGTTGGCTTTGTTTCTTTAAGCTATTTTTATTTGAATAAAACTGACGCAAGCCTGACATAAGAAAGTTATGGGGAAAGAAGCGCCTCTACTCTCTCAACCTTAACTTGTTCAGCTATTCATGTTGCAATCAACTGCCCACACTCTTGTTCAAGTTCCATGCTGTATTTCATAATACCTCGTCAGCTTGCTTTATTAACAGTATTTTAATTATTTAAAATACATTCTTAAGAGTTAGGTGAGAGGGGATCTGTAGAAAAACTACTGCTTCCCCTGTTTCGTAGGTTTCACCACATTGCTTCTGATTCTCCTCTACACTTGCAAGCCCTTTAACAAATACATATTTTTAACATCTCTAAAGCTTAGGTTCTCTAGGCATAGTTTAGATTGCAGGAATAACATTGCTATCAAGTCAGGAAAGGTCTCTGCCCTCAACAGGTTATTCAGATAATTGCTAAGAAAAATAAAAACCTATCTGCTCCTCCAGTCTTTTTGTTTGTCTGTTTGATCTACTTTCAAGATTTTTTGGTTTTTAAGCCAGAAGCTCACTTCAATCGTATGTTGGTTCAAGCTTTTATGTCTTCTGTGTCAATTTATCCCAGTTCTCAAGTGATGCTACTGTAGTCAAAATAGCAATTATTTTCGTGTTCAGTTGTTCAAAACTTTTAGCTATTTTTGGCCCAGTTGGAATTATGTTCACTTTCATATCCAATAGGTGCAACACTGAAAACATGGATTGATCTGACGCAGCTCCTTGCAGAGTAGGTGAATGCTGCTGCTGCTCTTTCAGGCAAGTTCCATGTAGTTGTCACCAAAAAAAAAAATTAAAAAAAAAAAAATCATTTATCTGCCTATTTTACACTTTGAAGCATTTTTGCCATTGGAAATAACAGAATCTCTAACTGAAGCAGATAAGGTTTCTTACTCTCACGTCAGTAAGTAATATACACTACTGAAATCAAAAAAGCATGGAGTTAAGTTGGCAGACATCCATCTTTTATGCAGCACTGCACCTTCCTGGAGAGCAAGCGTGCTAGAGCTGAGACTTAAAGCAGTGGTTTAGCAGAAGCCTCGGACAAAACCAGAACTCGCTGAACCACTCCCTGGAGAATTTATAATCAATGAAACCAAAGACAAAACCAAACAAACTGAAAATGACTTACAAAACTTTTCATAGCACTACAAAAAGAGTCAAAACACAGGCTCCAGATTTCGTGAGGTCAGTTCTCTGTCCACTTTTCTCCTCTAGATGATCTCTCCTCCCCTAGTTTTTTCTCAGATGTGCCATATGATTCATCTGAAGCTTAAGTAGTTCATAATGTAGGACAATTATTTGACGCATTTAAGCCACCAGATGCCCAGCGAGGTAATGAAGCATCTAAAATTACACTGCATTCACAGTAACAATGCCTATTCTAAAAGTATTATGCACATAAATGTCTACACACATAAATACACATGCAGAAAACCCGGCTCCAGCGTTACACTAGAATGTATACGAAGAATAGAGATTAAAAATTCACAAGGATATACAACCTTTTATGTAAGTTGCAAATGAAATTAAAATGTGAGTTAGGAATATTTTTTTAAATTCACAAGTAAGGCAAAAGGAAAATATAAATAGTTCTACCAAATAAGTGACTCTAAAAGCCTGCTGTGCAGTACCTTTTAGTGTTAGCCTCCATTAACATGACACAATTATCCAATGAATGGTATCTTGAAAATTGTAGAGATTTAAACACCGCTGACAAGACAGATAAACCTCAAACCAGCAGAGGTCAGGATATCATCAGGATTATAACCAGGAGTCTAATACAGGAGCATTACTGTATGATTATAAAAAGACACTAGATTTGCAATTTAACACTGACTCAATAAATGCAGTTTCTATGCTGACATTGTCCGAGACAGCATGAATACAACATGGGACAGAGAACTTAGCCTTAAATTATTGGGGGAAAATAGCGTCTAAGTACAAAGCCCCAGTGAATCAGAGCTTCAGAACACGTATACCACAATAACTGCAAGCTGTCTAACATTTATGCTCATAGACTCAACACCCTGCTGTGTCCTTCTGATGGGAATGAAATTATATATGCATTCACTATGTTATTAAATGTAATGAAACATGGCAGGAAACTGCAACCATTTCAGGCTGCGTACGCAGAAACACGCATGAACTAATGCAAAACAAAAGGGACTCTGAAGTTCCCTTCTTTTACAAGAAGCATTTCTTACTAGCCCTATACCGAAGCTCAAAATAATTCATTTTCAGAAGCACGGCTGCTCTTAACACTTGGGAAGCTGAGATGCCTTAAAACAAGTCATTCCGTCCCTTTTCCATGCATTCTACTGATTTGTGCAGCCAAGGCGGCTAACGTTAAACTTAGAGCTTCAAATATTTTATCTCGAGTTTTCTGATGATACAGAAGATCAATAGAGACAAACAAGAAGGATCTGATCTTGTCTTGGAGATAAGAACGGTTCTGACAGACCAAGGTGATATACCAACAGTAACTAGGCCCAGACAAGTAGAAATTCAGTTCACAAAGAGTTCAATAAAAGCCTTCCCCACTCCCAGTACATCAGTTCCCAAACTCCTCCTCCAAGACCCTCCAGCAGCAAAAGGATGTTTGGACAAGGGCCTGCACCAGCTGCTGACAGGTCTTGCACGTCCAGAACACACCTGGCTCACAAACTAAAAACTACAAGGGAGGTCAGGATGTTTTCCAGTGGCAGCCAGGATACTGGTCACCGTTTACCAAATGAGAACAGCACGCTGCACTCGTCAGGGGACAGCAACCTACACCTCAGCATCAAAGCCACCACCAGCTCACTGGGACAATTCATTCACCCCGCGCAGCTGATGACAGCTCATGACACAGTGACAATAGCTCTTGCTCTGTCAGGGCAGAGCCGGGTGTGACCTCTTAAGCAGCTCCGTTTCCTTTACTAGGTCATACGGATGGGTGAGGAAAACTCACGTCTCATTGCAACTAGTAAATGTGAGACCGCGTGGGCCCCAAGGGATCTGTGGGCAAGTTAACACGGCCTCAAGGACCACAGTCCTTACGGAACCTGGAACACGTTTCTTTGGAATGCAAATCACTTCCTCTCCTAGTTTCACATTTTTTTTAGATAAATCACAGTCATAAATCTTTAAACGCCTACATCCTAGTAAAAAGGTAGAAGACACCAGACTTACCTTTTCTATAGCTGCATCATGGACAGGAAGCTCCTCTGGACTGCAAACAAAAAAAGTCCATATTACTCTTGGTTAATCTTGGAACAAAATCATTTTTGCATAGGTTTTTACAAGTAATCATTTACCTCAGCAATACATACTAACAAGTAAACAAGAATTCTGAACTTTAGAGAATTAGGATAATAACACAGGAACTCTTGGAATTTAAACACAGTAAAACTCAGCATTTAAAGTAATGAAATAGAATTACTTCACGCTTAAACCTTCTAAATCAAACCAGTTTCACAGCTTTAAAAGACAAGGACTTAACATTTTTCTTTAGTAAAAGTACCACGTGCTGTACTACTGAACTGAAAACTAAGTGAAATTTTCTGTAAATGCGCACAGCAGAGCTTTAAATAAGAAAAATTGTTTTAGTGAAAACTTTTCACACTCCTAAACACTTGTGTACAGCTTTGTTTTAGAAATCCAACTATTTCCAAACATGAGACTCCTAACTCCACTCCATACATTTTTAAACAAAAACCCATTTTGTGTACTAGACCATGCTACTTTTAGCCGAAATACCCCTAAAAGGATTTTGCTTGAATTAGGAGAGTTTCTTCCATTTTCTCAAAACTATACAAAACTCACTCTGAATAACGGGGAGGAGGTGGAAGGAAAAAAAAACCCCACAACAAAATCAGTTTTATTACTAAGTATACAATTAATATTAAAAAATACAGTTCTTTTACTTCTTAGCCTAATTCTGAAAAGGCAGGTTATGAGTGGAAAGCTTGAAAAGCAGCCTTTGAGCAGATACATTTTCAGACTTTATATTATTTCAGTTTCATTCCGAAAGGCTCTAACTTCTGTTTTTCTTAACAAAGAAACTTGTGTTTTTCTTATCAAAAGTAACTGGACCACTTTGATGCCAAATGAGCCTTCCTTCCTCTGCCTGAATCACCTGCAGCTTCTGAAAACATAGCAGGTCATCTGTAAGCAGCAAGGCTCCCTTCTTCTGCTCTACAGATCAGATAAAAAACACATCCAACACACCCCTGTTTAAGAGGGACTAAAAAGAAGGCACTATGTGAAAAGTGAATTTTTTTATTATTTTTTTTAATTCCTACTGAGGCTTCATATTATGAAAAAAATCCTACCCACAGCATTATAGCTGTCTATAGCAAGGACATCAAAACCCAGTATTTTAGACCACTATGAAATCTGTGCAAGGGCAAAAAACCACTGGGGAAGGCTACAAAAGTAGTTGTTGCTGCAGTCAATGTAAGAACAGTCTGATGCAAAATGCTTGAATTATATTTGATCTCACGTATTTCATTTAAAAGATGCTGTTTCAGATTCAGAAGTTTTATTTGAATAAATACATTTGACTTACTTCATCTAATGGAAAAGCCTGCTCCACTCAACACCTTTTCAGAGACCACACACACAAGTCAAAGTTTCCAGTACACAGCCTAGAAACTAATTTAAAAACCAAAAGAGTGTTTCTTTTGAACAGCATTGCAAAAAGTATAATCCATCCACTTAGAAGCACTTTCCAAATATCTAAAAGTTTTCTTCCAGAACATCAAAACCCAAAAAAACCCTGATGAGCATCTGTCTGATGCTCTACAGCCTATAGTCAATGCTAAGGTTTCAAGTGTTATAAAACCACAGTATCATGCACATTCCCATTAACTAAATTAACAGACTGAAAGTAAGCCCTTTGTATGCCAAGTATCACCTCAAAATTAAATCTCCAAATTTGAACAAAAGAAAAAAAAAATTAAAAAACCAAACAAACAAGGAAAGGGGAAGAAAAAAAATTCCATTTGATAATCAGCTTGGGGGTTTTTTGTTGTTTCTTTTCATTTTAATTACAAAGATGGCTAAGCCTTTCAAACTTCACTTGCAATTTTCAGTTCTTTAGTGACCTCTTGCCTCTCTCCCCACGCCAAATTTCTGAATAACCTCCTCACTTGCAGGCACTGTCTACCTCCACCAGAAGCATCAACCCCGCACAGCAAGGCGAGCGCACAGCAGCTGCATTCTTTGTGGCCCTGTAAGATCACACCAGCAGCTGGCTGCACACACAACAGACTCTTCTTCTCCCATTGCCTCCAGCAACGAGCAAGACACCCATCTGACGTCTCTGCATCCCCACAGCCTCACACTGGACACAGCAACTGGTACCATTTGACATCTTATCTTCATGTTTGCTAATCCGGCATGGAAGCTAATCACACGAAAGATTAATCAAATCTTATTTTATCACAATGTATGAATGAAGCACAATGATTTATTAAGGAATTGCTCTTAATTTTGCAAGTTACCATCAATGTGTAAACAAAAGGCATGGATGAATCTACCGAGCAGCGAAAGAAGGGTCTTTTGTCCTGAGAAGCAGACACTGTACTCCCTCACTAAATTAATCCAGGAGCAAATTTTTGACCACATTCCTCATTCTTTTTTTTCAGCTGCGCAGCTATGCACTCATACCACATACCTATACGTTTTAAGCACTGAAATTCCACAGGAGCGCATTAAGCCAGCCCCATGTTTTTATTCCCCAAGATGCTGCTGGCAGCTAAGCACCAGGAAAACAGCCCAGAAGCTGAGCAAATTGCCCTGGGCTGCTCAGAACTCACTGGACTGGAACACAGAGGTTCCTGGAGATCTTCCTCTCAATTAACCACATTGCACTAACTACGCCCATGTACTCACATACATAATATTCAAATCTATCCTGCAAGGATTGAGGGAAGGGCATAGTGCACAAACTCACTCTCTCAAACACCTAAAGATAATTTAAAGAAATACATTTCCATTTAGTGTATATGTTTCCTACACAGAAGCACCTTACAAATTTAGTTTTCCTAAAAAGGATTAGGTGGGATCAGACACAAAATCAATTAATGTCTATTAATCAATGTAATTTTATTGCACCTTCTTTTTTTCTTTATAATGATGAATCTTCTCCTTCCTTCCACAGCTTAGCCAATCTAGTATTGTTATACCTTCATAATTTCTTTTAATGTTTAATCTTCTCCCACCATCCCCAGCCTATTTAAGCTTGTATTTTTCCATGTTTTTAATCTGCGTACTTCAGCAAGTAATGCTGTGAAGCAGTAAACAATATTAACATAATACAGCCGCATCCTGCCCCAAGATAACCGCTTTCCTTTAACAGCTCAAGTAATATTCATTTAGGGGATACAGAGAAGAAGAATAGGGCTGATTAATGTAATTAGCTCAGAACCATACAATATTCGATATCCAAAAGAGGAGTCAGAGACAGCTTTTAACTGAACTATGTAAACAAGGTCTCACTTAGACGAAATGAAATCTTAACACTCCATTGTCCATAATAAAGATACAACTAAGATCCCAACTAGGTAAATCCACCCATTTAATTAGACAGGAATCAAGAATCATTACATCTGGTATGTGCCTCTGCCCCAGGCACAAAGGCTACAGCCTCCCACCCTGCAGGCTGGGCAGCCCACACTGCAACCCAACAGCAGCTCAAGGGCTCTGGCTGTCACTGAACAGCAGCTCTGGTGTTATATATAATATTAAAAGAAAGGTCTGAAGATGCTGTCTACAGGTTTGGGAGCTGCGAAATGCTGGGACCAAATCCTGACTGCAATAATGAGCAGGGTCCACATGAAGGCATGTTGGGCTTCCTACTAGAAGGCTCCTCAAAGATATTTCCCTGGGAGGTAGTACTAGACTCCAAGGTTTGACTGGAAGTCAGGACCTCTACCCATGGTCCTCACTGGTGGTGATCTGCAACACCAGCCCAAAGTCTTCTTCGTGGACTATTAACACCTTCTGGTGAGGATTCTAAGGTCTAGAAGTTCAAAGAAACAGGATTTAATTTGGGAAAAAAAGGACTTGATTGAAAATGCTTATTAATTATAAGTGATGAATGGATTTTACATCCTTAAATCCACCACGATGGCTAACACAGGGTTTCATTAATTTTTCAAGATAACTTAAAAGAAATATTAATCTTAAATACATAGATATTTGACACTTCAGAACATTAAACATGCAGATCTATGGTTTTGGCCATTAAGCTATGTGTTGTAATTAGCCTCCTCAGGTAACAGTGATAGTTTAAACGAACTGAAAAGTCTCAGACTTAACAAGCTTACAGTCACCTGCCCACTGCTGCTGTTTAAATCAGTATTCCTTAAACAGCATTTTGATATATTTGTTCAATATAAACACAAGGAAAGACTTTCTCATATTAGTCAGATTTATTCTTTTCCTACATTTGTATTTAAATACCAAATATGTTCCCTGCTGGCTCAAATGACTGCATTTTCCTGCTTCTAGTTTGGCTTAAATAAATTTAAGAAATGTAAAGGCTCATCTATCATTTCCAACTTCAGTTGAGGATGGAAGATGTTTAGTGCAATAATCAGCAGTCTTGATATGATGGTAACCCCAGAACTGTAAATTCCAGAGGATCAACTCAACTCAGTGTTCCAAGTTATATAGATGCTGACACCTAATTGCTCATTGAAAAAAGTGGTAAAAATTGACCATAATAGACTAAAAATCCTTACCACAAAGCTTACTTGCCCGAAGAGCTGTAACATTCAAATTTTTTTGTAAGCTGTATTTTCACTTCTCATAATTTCTATTTCAAAACACATCGCTTGCTTAAAAACCCTCTCTGCTTGCTGCTGCTGTTCTTATGCCAGAGAGAATTAGCCGGCACACACTGAAGAACTTTGAGGTCTTTTATCCTGAAACATGTTGCAGGAATAATTGTGATATATGCAAGTCATGATTTAACTTTTTTAAAGTCAATTACATTCAATATTCCTATATTACTGAACTCACTATAACATGACTATTAAAAAATTCGAATCCTCATAAAGCCTGTGGTGCAGTCCCTATTCAAAATAGTTTCTCAAACTATTTCTCAAATTATTTTCTCTTGCTCTCCTCAAAGTACCACCAAGTGCAATCGCACCACCTTGTATCACTGCATCACATTTTAACTGAAAAGTGTTTTGAAATCATATTTGGTGTCACATATTA